GCAACTCAACCGCCTTCGCCTTCCGCGATGATAACCTCCTCGTGTCGCCGCTGTTGACCTACGCACCCGCCGGCAAGGAACTCGACGACCAGGTCGAACACATGGGCGACCAGCTTCGCGACATCATATACCAGGGAAGCGGCCGCAAGGAACTACACGCCTACGTCAACTACGCTTACGGAGATGAGAAGCCGAAGAACTGGTACGGCTACGAGCAGTGGCGCCAAGACCGTCTCCGGAGTTTGAAACAGAAGTATGATCCCAAGGGGAAGTTCAGTTTCTACGCTCCTATCGAGTTGAAGTGATTTAAATTCCTTTCTATGATTTCATCGATTAGTAATAATACAACAATATAGCAGTAATGATCTGCAGCGCCTTTGGCGTCCTGGACCCAGCCCAGGGCAATCTAAAGCGTCTATTAAAGTGAAGTGCCCGGGTATCCTAAATGAACCACGTATGGTGACACCACCACGTATGCTGCATAATTACTTACCGGAAATGCATATGGGGGGTTGCATTGAACCGGAAGACTCCCCTCACCCAGAATTGACCCATTTCCTCTCTTTATATCGAGATCAGATATTTTTACCGGTGATTTGTATAGGGTAAAACGCCCTCGTAGGCACTGGGCAGTCTCGTTCCTAGCGTGCAGTATATAAGCAGATTGGGTTGCAGTGATTGTGTAAAGATCTACAATTTTCGTGTAAGCTCATTACGATGATATTTGACTAGTCAATCACAACTACCATCCTAGGTTTTCCGGGGTTTTAGCACTGGGAAAAGAATCAAGTTTCATTTGGGGGAGTGGAAGGAATGAAATACGGTTAGCAACGTTTCAATACATATGCATGTTTGTACGCTTTTATAATCGTGCCAGTCACATCAAGAACCTCTATTTCTGAAGGAACGGATATTATAGCCACGTAGTCATAATGACATAGCCATGGTGTTGAGACAATACTGGGCATTATGATGCTGAACCCCGCACTTCGTGATATATCAGTTTTTAAGCATCTGCCAAGTCCTGACGGAGATGTCGAATGAGAAAATGTAGTATGTCACACGACTTGGAAGAGATGCATATTCATGTAGAGGCAAGAGGGTAGGTTGAGGTAGCTCTTGGTATCTCTCAGTCATTTTGTGTGATAATTAGGTGGTTACATATATATAAGTGCAGATACTGTAAGATTATTGGGACTTCATCTTTACTCCCGGACTTTCTCAAGGATGTTTCATTGAGTACGATTAATTTCAGTAAAAAAGAAAATGATAATTATGCTTGCTATCTTTCTGTTTTCTGCAGCGGCCCTCACCGGGTTGGTATTATGGATGATACTTAAAAGGTATCACAATACCATCCCTGATCCTAGGAAGGCTACCAGGATGCAATACCTGCGAACTCTTGCAGCTCAGCATAAAGTAGCCGCATCTTTGGTCACTATGATTGATCGAGATGGAGCCGGTGATGTATAAACTTTCTGCCATATGAAGTCTCAATAGCCTCATGATACCCATTTATATCCACCTTTCTATGTCTTATCTTCTAGGGGCCGGGCTCTAACATCGCCTCCGAAAGTGGCCACCTAGGGCGAATCACGAATCGTGGCCAGCGGCAATTCTACCTTACAGGTTCATTTATGTAGAACTACTTCCGTTATTGTACACAGATACGCCTTCTTTGGACGATGACGCCAATGCTGAGCGGCGAGTTAAGTATCGTGTGGCGATGAGAAGCCTCCTCAAAGACAGGGTCGACCTTGGCGCAGTGATCAGAATTCTTGAGGATGTCGAGGCAGACAATTGGGCCACCATATCTCGAGACACCCTTAACGGCTTATACTGTTGCATCGCTCTCTCCCGCCATGCATATAGGTAGAAGCTTCAACATTTCATACCCTATAAGTGGTAATATTAACCGAGTTATAGATGGGCCGCGCTGCCCGTTGTGAAGGTAGCTCAGCTAGAGAAGGTAGTGGACTTTCCCCCTGAATTGTCCGTCCTCTGGCCATATTTGCAGCGATATTATGGTTTCACCTCAGACGGCGGAAATCACACATCTAATGTTCTCATGAACTTCAATTCGAGGGGCGAGAGGATATTCAAATTCAATAACTCTCGTTATCCACTCATACAGTCGGCGGAGGAGGGTTTCTTCAGATTACTATATGATATCGACGTTATGGTCAGTCGGATGTCCTCGGCTCCTAGCGTAGTCACCTGACCCTCATACACAGTCCTTTGACATTTTCTATGATATTGTCATCGTCATTACCTCGTTCGAAGACAGCGACACGCGCTCCTGTCTCGAAGGTTTACGAAGTATTAATTCGAATCTTCGCGGGCTTTTCGTGCTCTTTAACCAAAAAATGAGGGAGCAAAACGTCTCTCGCAAGGTCTGGTTGAACTACGTGCAGAGCATTCACGCGTGGGGCGCGGGCAGAATGATCGATGACGAGTTTATTCAATTCGACGGAGTCTCTGGCAATCAGATTCTAATATTCCAGGCTCTCGACGCTCTTTTGGGTATGGGGACATATCACCCTGACGAGGACCTAAAGAGATACATACCTGCGAGCCAACGAGGTTTTTGCAAGTCTATCAAAGAATATTCTTTCCGGTCGTGCTTGAAGGGCACAGAAGACGAGGCCATAAAGGCAGAATTTGAAACGCTTGTCAGTCAACTAAAGGTGGGTGTTTCTCTATCTATGAGCTCGCCATACCATACCCAGACTAATGTGCGAAGCGATATCGTGCTGTCCATAGAAGTCGGGTAATGCCTTACCTAAAGAACCCGGCACCAGAACGCTACCATATGACCACTAAAACATCCGTCCTGACAATAGATCTTAATGTCGGTATCGACGAAGCACTGAAGCCTCTGGAGCAGATGTTAATAAACAGGTCGATGCAGACAGTCTAAGATATATAGCCGGGGCGGGTACGATATTAGACCCAAGGAGGTGACATGATATTGATGGACACAAGAGGATCTGAAGCCTTCACCAGTGGTACTCGTTCAAGCGCTTGTGGACTTACGAGTACAACTCTCGCGTAATGATCATACGTAGGATATTGTATGTTCATGCAGAGTAAAACAATTGCAAAGCGGACCTAGGTAGGTAGCCAGCTTCTCTTGCTATTAGTGATTGGTTGAAGTACCAGGCAGTTAATCCAGTTTCAACAGCACGAGGCTTATTCATCGGCTGTGGTGTATTCTCTTATAGACATGCAAGGACGAAAAGCAGTAGACCGTGCAATATCGTTCCCAGCCGCACAGTTTTCTCTTTACTATCAAGAATTCTAACTAGTGATTTGACTATATCAAGCTGGGTAGAGATGCTTGCAATTGGCCAAGTCTATAAGGTTAAGTCTTGGAAAACTAAAAGCTATGCGACTGTGAGACTCGTCTCAGTACTTATTATGATGATATGAATTCCAATTGTCAGGATCTTTGCAGATCCTACCAAGCCTAAAAAAACTAGACCAAAATAACAATACTTGCAATCTTTTAATTAGAGTAAGATGCTCTAACCGTTGACTCAGCTGGGCGCGCTTACATCAGTTTCTGACGCTCGTAGTTACTAGCCTATTGTTTTCAGTTATATTACAAGACCTCTTCCTGGGGAGTGCAAGAAGTGGAAAAGGTTTTAGGCGCGGTTATCATCTTGTGCACTGAACTACCATGAACATCAACTATTGGACTCCTAGAGATATTGGAAACAAAAGCAGAGACTTAATATTAGAGTGTGTTGAGATCATGGTAATGGTGATTATATATGGAGTTTGCACTTAGACTCGACGTCGCCGAAGCCGTCACTCAAGAAAGTTCGCTTGAGTTGCGAGGAGAATCTCATTTTGGGTGTCTTCCATCACGTTGGTAGGAAAAATGACAATCGAGATTGACGGCCAAGCCTGTAAAATACGTGATTAGCTCACGCCAAAATGCAACAGAAATGTCCGAGCTTTCCTTGTTGCCATTGAGATTAGCTAGAACACTACCAAAAGTAGAACGCAGTCAAGTCGGGCGCTTGGCCTGTCTCCAGCAATTATATACACACCAAGGTATTGACCAATGGATTGAAACTACGCAGAGATATCTAAACTCTCTACAAGACCGATGGGAGATTTACCATGGATTTGGGTTAACTTGGAAACCTCGCCATCCGATCTACTGAGATCTGTCAAAGGTAGTACTTGGTAATCCCGTTAGATTATGTAGAAGGCTAAGTTCTCATAGCGAGAGCTGTATGGTAAGGCCTAATATATATACATTTAACTGCATGTGGATCGTAAGTATTCCAGCCTCCTGGTTTTGACAAAGTCTCTAGCTCGAAAGGTCGTAGAAATTAATGAGACAATTACAAGGCAGATATTATTATTTTACACCTTTAGACCCTGTTAACCATCATCCTCAACAATTCAAATCTCGAGTTTCAAACACCAGTCCCAGGCAAAGAAGGAGCTCATGAATTCCGTCTTGACCATTAGCGAATATACTTCAGAGATGCGTAATCATGGTTTAGTTTCTGCAGATGATATTGAACAAGTGACAAATACTCGCGGCTTAAACGTCCACCTTTTTCTTGTTATAAAGAATAGCGATCTTAATTACAATCACAATTGTTGAGTACTACGAAGCCTCACAACAATAACAAAGGGTGAACCCAGGAACACAGTCTGGATTAAAATTGAGTGTTAGCGTCAATAATATCTTTCAGTTGATTATTTGGCAGAGCGTTAGAACGTCCCTATGTTATAGCATGAATTTAACGTATGCGCTATCTTGTACGCTATTTGCTGTGAAAGAAGTTCTGGGATACGGGAAAAGGGTGGAATCACGTGGCTTCCATGATCACCTTCCCCTTTTAGTCCATAGTAAGGTTAAGTACATGTGGTGGATCCCCCCTCTGTTCCAAGGTTCTGAATTCAATCACACATAACTAATTACTCCATTTGCTGGCAACAGATTGAAAAACAAAAAAAAACGAAATAAAGTTATATGGACGAACGGGGATTTGAACCCCGGACCCTTCGCAGGCATTAACTGTTCTGGAGAATCCAGACAGGAGAACAATGCAAAGCGAATATCATACCCCTAGACCATTCGCCCAATGTTATTGACACCTCCGAATAATAAGGAATATATTCAAATGGTCACTACAGCGCTTACTTTCGATCTAGAAACCAAGAAACAAGCAACGAGACTGTCACCTTTTACTGTCCTACTTTTTGCTTTTACGGTACTTTGCAAACGATATGTTATTTGAGCTATTTATCTAGGGGATTTGCTAAATTAAGGACGCAAACGTAGATGAAGCATATGCGAATTATCGTCGACAACTCAAGTTGTAACCAGCAAGCTTAGACTCAACATGGCCTGCTATACATGTACCTGCAACTCCACATGCATACAGTAAGTACACCTCAGCAGCTCATTATACTTGGTATTTAGGATTGCATGCTACTGCTACGAACCGAGGTATCATCAATTCTCCTAATGATTGAGATGTACTTGAAATTTCCTACTTTCACAGAAATGTGTTTCTACTTTATATAACCAGGGGATCACTTGCACCAGCCAAGAGCCATTGCGCGCCTTAAACCGAGTGAGCAATCAAAACGCATGAGTGCCTCGTTATCTGAATGTTTGCAGCATAAACCTTTCAATGCTATAATTGAATCACGGTTTGAGGTCCAGAGCATTTGCCAAAAAGAAGCCGATGCAGATCCGGTCTTCACCCCTCTCCAGCGAATCAATGTCAGCAACAACAGGGTGACCGCCAGACATTGTATTACATTGCATTTCCCAGCACCCCAAAAGTGGCCAGGATATTATACAATATACGGTAGTTCGCTCAAGGGTAATAAACTTCTCGTCGAAGTCGAAGAAGAGCTCTCTTGTTATTCCGAACTTTTAATGTTATCACTTTAAATGTTAGTTCGGCACTAGAACTTAAACAGTGGAAAGGCGGGGCTATTTGCACAGCTACATACATTCAATTAAACCGTATAATAATGCTCGCATAATAGTTTCATTAGGTGTATGCAACTGTGTGAGCAGCCCCGCTTTCCTGCTGTTCAAGTTCTAGTGAACACTAAGAGCGTCATACAACATTCTGTCTTAGAGGGCGGAATGGTGGTCGGATAGACAGGACGGCAGGCGGCAGAGTGACAATAGTAACTATACCCAGCCTCTTATAAGTTATTAATAAGCATTTAAGTATATTAATACCAAGTTAAGAGAGCTATAGAATAGTCGACTAACAGCCCTGTTTTACTTGCTATGTTTAACGTTTATACGCTCTTGTATACATGTCTTAGTATAATGTAGGAGATTAAGTAAATACAGGTAAGCTGGAAGCCTAAGCCTTGCACAGAGCTTTGCACTGGTACAATATAGACGTGTATATAATATGTAGGGTCTAACCGGGGGCTTCAAGTCCTCTGTGCGAAGCTCTAGCTTTCACCTGATCTCCTATAGAACACTAAGTTCTACGCTTGTATGACTATATACATGATGTGTAAGGCTAGGCTATGTTCTTAAGTGCGTGTAGGTCACACATAGTGCAGTGCCATTAAGGTATTAATAGGCCACATTCCCCGGCAAATTTTCTTAACAATGTTGCTAACTAACATGTGGCCGAGATGCTTTGGGTAGGAATGGAGAATATCAACGCCTCCGTGGGCTTTTACGAGACCTTGAAGGTATGGTTCATGGCGAAGGAGACGACGCGAGACGGAAATGAGCAGGGCTGAGGGGTTACTGAGTGAACATCTTATTTAGTTTTTATGAACAAGAAGGGTTGTTACGTTTAAGGTAAAAGGCTTCGCTGGACTGGAGAGTATCCGGGCTATAAAACTGTTTTGTAATAAACCTTTAGATATTGTATTTTTATTTTGACTGATCAGCGGCTGCTTCTTCTTCCTTCCCCCCCTCGCCTGTTTTTACTTTCTCTTTTTTTCTTTCTTTTTCTTTTTCTTTTTGGCTGCTTAAAACACAAAACAATCAGGTTCAAGTTCGCCTGGTTAGCTAAAGACAAGTTATTTTTCATTACCATGTATTGCCGTTTAAATTTATATTCGCGTTATTAATCACCTCTTTTGATCGTCGTTTTCTCATGATCTACATTTGGCTTCACAACTAAGCTACTTACAGTTAATGGGCTACGTGGTCGACGTACGACTACAGCACTGCACCTGTTAGCAACATCTAAAATTAGTAATGTGCCAAGACCAGCGCTAGATCAGAGTTGTTGTCACGACTTTCTCGCCAGCTTTCCAAAGTCGCGGGCTATGGAATGACCCCAGTCAGGTATGTATGCCTCATAGACTTCGAGTCTAGACCGGATTCCAGGCCTCACTCGACATAGACGTCACGCTGTACCTGTTGTGTGCAGACCCGGAGCTGGAAGCTCGTGACTCAGACGTCATGCTGTGCCTGTCGTATACGGAGCTAGAGGCAGATGATATGCTGTCTCTATCGTAAACAGAACTAGGGGCGGGCGGCGAAGGGCGTGGCGGGGTGCTGGCGTGCTGGGTTGGGGTTGTGTGGTGACTAGCCTGACTATGATGAGAGATAGTCGAGTTCCCCTCCGGCTTGCCCTCCTTCGTCTTAAAGCGTTCCATGAGGAACGCATGACGTTGCGCCGAGAAAGTAGACTCGGCATCCGAGCCAGGAAGGAAGACTTTCCGGTTTGGGCCTGGGTTATCTCGTGCCGTTGGGGGATAGTGACGACCGTGTGGCGGAGCGGGCCAGTTCAGTGGTGCGTCCTTACCATTCTTCGATGACGACGTAGGGTTCTCGGGGTTAGTCTTATTTGTTGAGCTCGTTGGTGGGCGCGAGGAAGCTCCGGGTGCCTTATTACTAACCACTGACGAGCCTTCCCGATGCTTATACATGGAGGGTATCTTAGGCACCGGCGGTAGGTTTTGAGTACTGGGATGAATGGTGCTTGCATCTGTTGTGTAAACAGTACAATCCGTCCACGCGCTTACTGTGGTACCGCGATCTCCAGAGGACTGGATTGGTGGGCCACGATCCTTTTTGACATGAAGCGGGTCGGGCAGAGCAGACTCGGCGATACGACTACCGCTAGGACGGAAAGCAGGATGTACCATGGATACTACGGATTTCGCATCATCCTGGCCAAGATCTAGTTGAGATTCGCATAACATGCTGGCCCACCATTCTTCAACTTTATCTCGGCTTCTCTCTTCCTCCTCATAGTCTCTTTCATTGTCCTCCTGTTCTTCTTCGAAGTTGTAGGGGCCAGGCTCATCGTTGATGGACATACTTTGCACGAATTGATTGAGAAAAGATTGGGTAGGCAAGCCGTTGCTAGTCCCGCTTTCCCGAGCCGGTTCAGGGGCAGCAGGGCGAGGGCCCGGTGGAAGGTCACGAACAACCCGTTGTCGCTCATATACGTCAGAGTACCCGGAAAGACTATCAGGGCGATAGATACTTTCAGCTTTGTTCATGTACAAAGCGGACTGTCTCTGATCTGCAGCGCTCTCGACGTCTGCCAAGGCGACGGGAATCCCGTCTCTTGTTCGTCTTTTATGGCCGGCATTAGCGGGCAGAGGAGCAATTTTGGCTCCTGTTTTAGTTCTCCTGAGCTCGGTATATACGGAGCGTTTCGCAGCTCGCAACATGGAGTGTTGTTGCTTCTGTTCGGCTCGCCACGCTTCGATTTGAGGTCCAGCCATCCTTAATTCGTCTACGAGAGCGTCACTCATAGCCCTGCATTCTTCGGATCGGCCTACTCCCTCACGGTGCTTTCGGAGATGATCGATCCAGGCTTCCACCACACGGTATAGACGAGGTTCTTGTCCTGAGGAGATTGCCCTGCGTCGCTCCATGCGGTCTATGAGAGCTGCCCGAAGGTCCGCCAAAGCTCGGCCACTGGCACCGACAGCCGCAAGACAGCATGCTTCACAGGAAGATTTCACGAATACGTGGTGGCCGTCGAAGGGGGCGAGGCCGTAAATCTCGTGAAAAAGCAGCGGCTCAGTCCACAATGCCGCGATCGAGTCAAGTCGACCAACAAAAGCAGATAGCTCGGGCGCCGAAGTTCTGCCCGGCCACGAACGCAAAGCATCTGTGTGAACGGTGACTTCATATGCAAGAGCAATGAAAAGTCTTCGGATCAAGAAGGGATTGAGGTTAGAATGGGTTTTGCAGAGTATGGCTCGGGGGTCCACAATATTCGGGTCAATGCTATCCACGATCTTCGTTGCCAGGCGTTTGAAAAGATTTGAGGACCTTAGCAATTCCTTAGGAAGATCTCTCATCTTCTCTTCCTGCCTTTGCAGCCATCGTCTAGAAGGTAGAGCGATTCCATATTCGGGACGTCGTGCAAGCACCTTGGTGATGCGGACGACGAGTTCGTCCGACAAGTCTTGAATCCCAATGCTCATTGAGAGGTATGCGTAAGACAATGGAAGGTTTCGTAACGGATAGTCTGAGTCAACAGAGTGACTTCACAAGCAGCAATGAAACAGATCTAGGCTGGTGGATCAATTTTAAGTAGGTAGTTCTGCTTGGATTAAGCTGTCAACAAAAACTGGAAGCGTGTGGAACAGGCTCGTAATTGTATCTTTCATATACTTCGAGGACATCTAAACAATAGCCATCGTGTCAAAGACATTGAGTGCTTTGTGCATTCTATCAACACAATAGCAAGCGAGTATTCTTTGTTCGAACGGCATACATGATGCAGTCAGCTTGTTTTAGAAACCTTCACGTTGTTGTCGATATTCGAAGTCGATGGAGATGCCGAGACCGAAGACGCAAAGAAATGTCGAGCTGGCGTGGAATCTGCTAAATAGAAGTAGCGTTAGCTCGATCTCAAAGGGAGCTGTACTTACTAGACGAAACTAGTGTTCCCTTCGACTGTTAAGTAACTGCTTCCTGGGGTCGATTTGATCCTCAGCTACCACACAATGAAGCACGAGTGTCCATCCGTCAAATGTCGGTCCATGTATAAGTAACGGCAAGATTGCCTGGGCAAAGTATATATTCAGACGACCTTATACGTCAATGCCCTTTCATCATGAATGTCCCTTTGGCAAATTTCTCTATGGAAAGTGATTGCACGTCTTCGATACAAC